CCAAAGTAATCGACACAACGGCCAGAAACTGTCAGAAATTCTCTTGATAAATGTGAATGCTCTTAAAGTTCTACTTCCTTGATATCTTTTCTATCTCTTCTACATAACATGTAGAAGAGAGAGCCCACATTTTTACTGTGTGCTGGTTGTATTTTTTCTTTATTTAACTTATTTATAAAGTCTTTTACCAGGATTTAAATAGAGTTCTACAGTTTGCTTACCGCGCTCCATCCAGTCACATGGTACTCAGCACATTTCTGCATGTTGCAGGTCTGCAGAGAAGGAGGAGCATCACCGTAAGCGGCACAAACGGCATCCTCCACCACGCGGGGTCCCGAGACATCATTGGAAACACACTGCACACTGCGCACCTGAGAGCCTCCACCACAGGTAACTGAGCAGGCGTTCCACTCCCCAGTTTGCCAGCTGAGAAAACCACCAAAAGACAAGAAACAGGAGTCAGTCTCTTTGCTGCTGATATAGACACTGTACAGCTGAACATACAGCATACACAGCTTCAGCCAGGAGAGGAGTGATGGGAAGAGTTTCGTTCCAAAATCAGGAAAAACAAATGAGTTGAACAAATACTGTCCAGTTTGACTTCACTGCTCTTCAGAGCCAGTTTTTTACGTTTTACTTTAACTATAACGTAAACATTTCTTCATCAGTACCTGACCAGAGACACAGTCTTCCATTAGCCAAAAATTATTGGCTAATGAATTCAAATTTTTAGTAAATTATGTATATATTTAAAATTTTATTTTTGGTTGGATGCATGGATAAACTAATACGGGAAAGAAGCGTTATGATTTTCAGCAGTGAGAAATACAAAGACATTTATGTTACTTTTTTTTTAAATGAGCAGAATAACTTGACCTATGACCTACATGCTAAACCTATTTGTGTTAACATATCAGCATTTTTTTTGTTTTGACTGACAAATTCAATAATTATTTCATATTTGATGCAAATCGCTGTTTGGAATGAAACCTCCGAATGCCTTTAAAAGAGGCTGTTTGAACAAAGCCTCTCACATGCAGCTAGAAAAACTACTGGACACATACACACTGATAACAACACTTTCAGAGACAGACGTCGAGACACCAGCTGATCCCAGATGATACTCAGACAGTGTTTTTCTCACTATAATAGGTTAGAACTGGCACTAATGGGGCTGCTAGAAGCACAGGCAGAAGTGAAAGCAACAATAAACAGCAATTTAATTCCCCGCATCTCCGCAAATTAAGCATCTACTGATTCTGGCTTTAGGTGTTAACTTTAATGGATACTGAGGGTGCAGTTAGAGTCACTTGAGCTACATAAACATCTCAGGTTTCTAAGCTGCAGCAGCATGAAAGAAAAGAAAGCAGGAAATACCAGAAAGTCACACACTAAAGCGACTATTTACTACTTAGCACTACTGCTGTGTCCCAGCCTGAAAAGTACACAATCCCCAACACCCACGGCATGACGATCTTTAACCTCTAAGCGCCTCACAACACACTGGCTACAATATTGCACAGGAACAGAGAGCTTTACAGTTTGCTGAAGAGATCAGGCAGCAGCCCAGCTCAGGAATCAGACACAGGTGCCACAGCTTAAAGGTTAAAGAAGAGTTGGCTCTTTGGGGGGGGAATGCTACATCCAATCATCCATCACTCACTTTACAAAGTGCTGGATGTTGTCTAAGGTAAATGAGGGTCATTAAAAGGTTGAAAGGAGATCTCTGAGCTGGACAGTTGCCCCATGCCTTCATCCTTATCTCACATGGACAGAACAGACTTGGCACTAAAGACGGACTCGACTAGAGTCAAACACTTCTAAAGGGGGAGAGATCGCGCTTTCAATCAACATTTATAACATTTCTGGTCATTTTTGACATTTTCAGCCCAATTTTAGGGACAAGTAGCCAAAAATGATTCGTTGTAAAAGTGTTTGTTTGACAGAAAGCATGGAAATGATCTAAGAGAATTACTAAAAAATATATTTTCAAGGAAATAAGTGAAAGCATTTAATTATTTTGATCTTCCCCCGGTGTTTGCAGTCACCTAAAACTCCTCTACGACCTCTGAACATGGGTTACCTGAACACAGAGGCTCTAGGCCTCTTTGAGGATCTCAACAACTGTGGTGGATACAGGTACGCCATCCTTTCAGACAGGCATAACATACCAACAACAGTCAAAATGCTGCTCTGGGAGTTATTTATGGTACTCTTTAAATTCATTAAGAGTGGAGCAAAGTAAACTATGGAAACGTCTAAAATTTAGCTTACATTTACTGAAATAACACATTTCATTCGAGAAGTTTAAGCATTACTTACTTGCGGATTTGTGGGCATGGATGAGGATTGCATGTACGGTTGCTCTGTGGCCTCGGCAGAGAAGCACAGAGGTAGTCAGGGTAGGCCTCATTGTCGATTGAACAGAAGACCAAACGAGACTGGTAGCCTGATAAAGGAAGGTATGGAGCTATTATACTGTCCAAAAACAAGGATGTTTAAAACATTTTAAATAAAATTATGCTGGCAGCAAATAAAAGTTGCAGTCTAACCTGATCCACACTCTTTGCTGCAAGCAGACCAGGATCCATAGCTCCAGTAGTAGCCCTCTCTGGAGCGTCCATTTGGAAGGTAGTATTCATATTCCACTCCCTGATTGGGCTCCTGGCTGATCAGCTGAGGGGACAGGGTTAAACATACTTATTGATTCATTTTAACTCCTACTTTTATCCACACATCCAAAACGCTACCTTAAGTTTAAAATTTTAAACAAACACTTATGGCATGAAGAAACTAAATGTTTCTCTTTTCTGGAAATGTTTCTCATATATTTCTGTGGCGGAGGTGTGGTCCCTGGCTCAGCTGCAGGGGAAGGAGCTCAACGGGGCGGTGCCAGCGAGGCAGGTGAGAACACAGCTGGTGGCGTTTGGACTGATGACAGTCTTTTTCCCCTTTTAGTGAGGCAGGAGACGAGAGAGGGGAGGATGTTTTTTTTAATTAATTTTTTTATTTTTTTGGGCGTCATTCCAGACCACACTCCATACCAGTTGGTGGCGGTAATGCACCTTTCAATTGTTTGCCAACCGCCAATACAAATGTAAGAAAGAAAGAAAGAGAGGGGAGGATGGAAAGCTGAGACCAGTGCAGACAAGACCATGGGTCGTTGTATAAGAACCAAAACAAACTTGACATCTGTGAGCACAACCATTGTGTGTGTGGAGTGCATTCTACAATTTCATATTTATAACCCTGTGAAGTCTATTTGATCGTGAATGGCCATTTGTTTTTTACCTCAACAACAAGTGGTTCGGTGGTGGGGCCACGGCCGATGATGGTTTCAGGGACACTGTCGCCCTCAGCACCTCTCTGGTAGTACAGCATGGTGCCGCCAATAGGTGTGGCTCTGGAAAACTCAATTACCCAGTGGCCATTGAGATAATACTCTCCACGTAGATTCTTGATAGCTGTAAAGAAGTTGTAAATGTAAATTATTTTGATTATCTTGTAGTGTGTTTTCTAAAAGGTCTGACACACACTTACCGAGGTAGTTACGTGTGGCATGTGTCTCTCTGATGCTGATGCTGGTGGCTCCAACGGGGATGATGAACATCTGGTTGTAGCCTGAAATAAAAGTGGCAAAAAAGAAGAAACTGGGGTTTAAACTTCAGGAGAGGATTTAAATGACACATATTTAGATGATGATGATTTATGACATTTATCAGGTACATGTTGGGTACATATATCATTTGGCATATCATTTGGGAGTAAGCGTGACCAAATTAGAAATATGAATCATACCGGTTGGCAGGTCGCGGGCAGAGAAGCTGTTCTTGACACGGTAGCAGGACTGACTGTTACCCCCACACTGCAGACAGGGGTCCTCCTGCTGAGGAGACTCCAGCATGTTGTCGCAGCCCATACGCTGAGGAAAGGAAAAGTTGGGAAAAAATGATCAAAAAAGAAGATGAAAACCACAGTTCACCTCAACCTTTATTCTGTGTCATTTAGGTTGTCTTCTGCAGATATAAACAAGCACAAATAACATCATTTAAAAACTTGAAATCTTGATCTTAATCAAAATCTGATGTGTTCATCCTGTAAAATTCCTGTCTTTGTATGATAGCTGTCAAAGTCACTGCTCCACTATAAACTGAAAGAGATTAGAAATCATCTGCTGAGCAAATGTCCCGAGAATATATGTGCTAAAACATTATTTCTGTGAAACGTGTAGTTCAAAGAAAAACATGGTTGAAGGTGAAATAATTGAAAATAAATAAATAAAGACCCGAGAAAAGAGTGGATTTGGGACAGCTGTTCCCTTCAGGGAAGGTGATAGAGACATGAAGTCAGAGGTTAAATTGACGAGGTTTACTCATGAGGAAAAAGTTGCAGCAATAATTGCATGAGAAAAGAACAAGAGCAGAAGTGTTTGATGTTACCACAGAGTGAAGCTAATCTTTCATCCTGCTGCTCAGCTCCACTGATTGTGTCCTGTCTGATTAACAAAGTGATGCTGCACTCCAAGATTTGAAGTCGTCAAACCCCAAATCATGGATGGGCAGACTAATCAAATCATTAGACCTAACTGGCAACTCATATCAGGCTATGTGTTGCATTTTTTAAATAAGACCTCTACAGCTCTTCACATTCCTTTAGTGTGTGGTAAACACCAAATTGTATATGTTATACATACTGTATGGTATTTGAGCTGCCACCTACAGGGCAGAGAGCAGAACTACAAAACATGTGCCTTGCAACTTTATAATTGAAACGTTCATGCACACATTTATTAAATTGCAACCAATATATTTTTAGCAATCATGTTTTCCCAAATATATTTTGACCTCTGCTGGTCACTACGTATTCTGCATGCAAGTATAAGGCAATGTACTTTTAGTACATTACATTTAGTACATTAGTAGAAGGAATACTTTTAGCTGTCTCCTTGTTTCCCAAGAGGTCACTACAGCGGATGGATTTTCATATTTTATTTGACACCACCCTCCCATTTATCCAGGCTTGGGCCAACACTAGGAGTAGACTAGCTTGTGCCCCATTGAGGCTGGCTCTCAAACTCTCACACAATCTTTTGTGTGTTTTTGTGCGTTAACGACTGCATGTAGCTATTACTACTGCATATAACTGTGTTATGTGCAATTATAAATTGCTTTAACACGTGTTTTCTTGTCCACATAAAAACCCCAGATACAAATCACACGTTCGTGTCAGGTAGAACCGGGGTAAAAATGTCAGCAGGGATTGCCCTGGGGGTAAGTGCTGAGGAGAAGCCAACAGGAGCATGTTGAGACTAAAGAACTTACAGTACACTCATATTTGGAAAGTTTACCACTTACAATAATACAATAAATTTCCCGTTACATAACCTATAACCAACAGAAAAAAATACTGATTATTAGAATTATTAATACTCTTTCTCAAGAAGTATGGACTAATAAAAAGTTATGCTTTCAGGACATTTTCAGGACAAGTTGGAAAACATAGAATTACATTTAGATGTCACAAACCTCCTTCCCACCCTCTCTGTTTTCGTTACCTGTCAGATATTAATTTCTTTGTGTGTGTGCAAGTGTGTGCAAGTGTGTGCGCAATATTTGGCGGGGCATCCTACCCTGCACACTCCATCCACACAGATATCCCTCCGCCCTGGGTGACAGGGCGTCCCATCAATCACAGCTCTGCGGTGGCGGTAGAAAAAGTTTTCCCCTCTTGGCATGCAGTTCAGCTCACAGGGGTTCTCAGCTATCACAGAAATAAGGCTGATTTTAACAATTTAAAGAACTTAGAAATACAAATGCTGACAAATAGCTGGTGCTTGGCAAATGTCACAAGAAAATTCAGTCAATAGTATACATAAATATGGCCTGTCAAAGCAAACTCTCGGCTTTGTTTTTGTTTCTGACCTCCGTAATATGGAAGCCATTTGTAGCGTTTCCCGTGGAAATCTGTCCCATCAAACTGGGAGCACTGCTCTTCACGGAAATCCCTGGATCCCTCTGGACAGTCCTGAGTTGAATAAGGAGATGCAGCAAAGGTCAAAGGTCAGTAATCCTAAAATAACTACAGGTTTAATACAAATTCAAAAAAATATATTTACAATGTCTTCTTTAAGAAAGAAACACACTTTTGTACTTTGGCTTAGGTTTTAGTGCATCATAGTGATTATTGCTATCAAGTTATCGTGTTAAAAAAAGCCCTTTGATATATAAAAAAAAATGTAGAGGTCTAAATATAAAAGTATACATAAAAATAAAAGGTTGACCATTAAATCCAAATTAGTTTCACATGTGATCACCTGGATGTTGCAGGACCGATATGACTTGTCTGGTCCCACACAGTTGTGCCCTCCATCCTCCCTGAGTGCAAATAAAATAAAACATAAACATGACATTTCATGTAATAGTTTTATGAATGAACCCTGATCTGCCCGATATAGTGAGAGCAATTTCCACAAGAGTAGAAGAGACTAAGACCTCCTGACTGACTTTTATCTTTGCTTCTACTACTCCTTATGCTTTAAAAACACTCCACAACATCATAGATACATTTCTTTAGATGCTTTAGATGCTCTGTGCTTCTGAATGACCACTTCATTTAAATTTGTATCACAGACTTTCTGTTAAAAGAAGATGTTCACAAATAATCCTGTCTTTATCTTGTCTTCCTTCTCCCACCCTAACCGGTCGCAGCAGATGGCCGCCCCTCCCTGAGCCTGGTTCTGCTGGAGGTTTCTTCCTATTAAAAGGGAGTTTTTCTTCGCCACTGTCGCCAAAGTGCTTGCTCATTGTTGGGTTTTTCTCTGTATGTATTACTGTAGGGTCTACCTTACAATATAAAGCGCCTTGAGTCAACTGTTGTTGTGATTTGGCTCTATATAAATAAAATTTAATTGAACTGAATTGAAAATGGGCTGACGATCCAGTATAAAGTAATTGCCCTTAACTTCCCATCAAACTCTCTCACATCTTTCCCAAGCAAAGTTTCATTAAAACTTGACAGCTTCTCATTGCGAGACAAAAACAGTTAATGAGTAGGTGCAATGAATGTATGCAAATTCAGCAGAGACTGTCTGCACAAGCAGAAATAACAAGTTTCAGGTCTGACATTAAACAACATTCCTCTTTAATCTGTACCTGTTAAAAAAATGACCTCTCAGCACAGCAGAAGCTTCAACATCAACATTGTTAAGCCCTAGCTTTGCACAGACATCCGTGCACATGCCAGTAAACTGCGAGATAGCAGACTGTTTCGCCACTCACCATTCCAGCACTGCTGATAATTCATGATTTAGTCACCTTCAAAAGTACCTGGCCTTAAGCCGTAAAGCAAGACATGCTCCTGTCAGCACACCTGAACTGAAACTAAAACATGTCAAAACAACGGCTTTTCACTTAATAATGGAAAACAGCACATTAAACACTACTTTCGGTTTAAAATGATACAAAACAGAAATGTGGAAAAGTGGCAGTTATTCATGCAAAATTATTGATTGCACATAATTGAAACTGATTATAGCCCCGACTGACAAAATGACAACCCCAATCATGCTTGTTTTTCTTATGAATGTGTTGGGTTTTTTTACTAAAATGAATGTATGGTGAGACATGGGAGTTCCTGTAAAGCACAGAGGGAGCTGTCAAATCACTGTGTTTAAAGGGGTGATTCAGCAAGCCTGGCAGACAAGATATGACAGAGTTCATCGGACTGGCAATGGGTAGGACCGCTTCCCTATTATTCATCATTTTCCTAAAGAAGGGCTACAGACTCACTATAAGGCTCTGACTCACTGACTGACTGCACGAACATGTTGAAAACAAGCATCAAGAGACATCAGACATCAAAACACTGCCATCAAGCTTCTACAGAGATGTAGAAGCTGCACAAACAGCTATATCAACACTTTATGATAAAAAAAAACAACATATCTAACAGCTTGTGGTCAGGTAAATGCAACAAGATATGACACAAAGTAAAACAAAGTACTTGGGCCTGTTAAAAACAGCTCCTCACAGACTTGTTCTGTCTAGTGGGAATATTTCTGCGCAAAAGAAAATAAGACTTGTTGTTTTTGGAAAGGTATTCAGTATATTAAGCTAAATTATAGGTCGCTGAGATACTCCGTCGTCTACTTTAAAGGAAGACTTTTGTTTTAAGCCTCTTTGATAGTTTTATTTATAGCGTGGCTATATTAAGATAGACTTTTTTCTCTATTTTTGTAAGGTACACTGGAGAAAAAGAGCGGAAATGCAGGAAACAAAGCGGGGAAGTGACACAAGGGAGAGAGGCGGGGGTGTACCCTGGACAGGTTGCCAATCTAAGGCTAACACAGAGAGACAGACAATCATTCCTGCCTACATTCTCAACTATAGCTTATTTACTCTCGCCAGTTCACCTAGCATTCACTTCTTTGTCTCAAAATGAAATGATCCGTCAGTGCTGCCACAGCAGTCTGTCACACACCTGAAATCCTTCAGCCAGTAAGTTAACAATAAAATCTACAGCTAATTAAAAAAAATCATAATGCAGAATTTTAATGCACTCAACTCAACTGTACAAGCATGTTTAATTTTATATGTGCAGTGCAGTTTAATCCCAATATCCAGGTAGAATTTTGAATGCTAGTTTTATGTGTAATATAGTATCTTTACTTCAATTTTCTCATATTTGTATCTCTGTAAAAGAACTGAGTACTTCTTCCAAATGGCAATATGCCAGACGGCCCCCAGCAATACTGCAACATTTACGGGAAAAGCTGGGAGCGTGCTTACATATTAGTCACATGTGAGAGGAGAAGCTTTAAAAACCAATCCAAAAACTAAAGAAAAACTGTACGTGTTACTTAAATGTAACAACACGTGTGCCGCAAAGGAAACCTAAGATTTAATGTTGACTTTTAAAACCACTACTGAAGCAAAAAAATGGCAGCTCGAAATGTTCACCTCCCACCTGATCCTCTTCAGCAGACAACATGCAACACACAACACAGAGACGTCCTTTTAATATT